ACGTGGGTCAGACTGGTCGCAATTTCGAGACACGTTATAAAGAGCATTTAGCCGCGTACAGGAATTTCTATCCCGATAAATCCCATTTTGCCAAACATCTTTTGGTCACTGGACACAACCTAGCCAACGAGCACTCCTTTAAAGTCTTACATACGTGTACAAAGGGCTGCGACTGTGTGTGCTGCAACAGTTAGAGATATTAAAAAGTAATAATAGTACCGTTGCACTGCTGAATGAACAAACAAAGATATTTAAGAGAGGTGAGTTAGTATCACCTCTCTTAAATATCTTTAAGCCTGCCGTCTAATAATAGAGAGCCTCGTAATATGATCGTTTGTCACCCTCACGGTGATCGGCGATTGTTTGCGTGGTTGGAGGGTGGGCGTTGCGCGGCGGTTTGTTTTTAATTTTACAAACGGCTGCGTAAGTCCGGCGGTGATTGGTCGCATGTTTTATCGCATCACGCAGTCGCTCGCTCGTTAAGTAGAGAGCGGTTGCGTCATCGGTCTGTATAAAAGGCACTTGTTTTGGCTCGCCGCTCACTTAACGGTCAGCCACCGTATAGTCTATATCACCTGAGGATGCCTCGTGTAGAGGCGAAACACGTGTCGTATTATCGTCAGTGGTGTGTCTTGCCTAGCGTAGTGGTGTTGGGAGTTGCGGTGCTGGGATTAGTGGTGACGGGGATAGTGCACGCTATTGAGGGAGTGCGGGAGGTGCTCTTCATACTAGGTAAGACACATCATTTTATTTTATAACGCGGATATTTGCGAAGTAAATTTTTCTAAAAGCTTTTATAAGGAGACTTTTCCTATATATTGAATATTTCATGAAATTTTTATTGGGGTATAAGTACTATTATTTACTTTTATTAATTTTGGAGTACGTTGATGACCAAAGAGAGTAGGTGCAGAATCGAGGGCTTTACGTGCTTTACGAGGCATGGAGGTGAGTTGCCAAGTTCCTGACGTCGGGCTATTGAGAATTTCTTGACAGAAAAACCCGATTACTGGTTTTGGCCCGATCTGGGATTCAAGCCTGGTTTCCTATTGTAACGAACCCCCCCCCCATCTTTTTTTCTCTTCTACTATATATCCACTTATACTTGTATTTCTTTAGAATCTATATCTGTAAGATATATAAATATATCTAATTTACGTGACCAGTATAACTTGATCTTTCTAAAGGTTTAAATATAGGCCGTTTAATAAATTTATGGCGTGATCGTCTTAGTTAGGACCCTTTTTTACGTTGTGTTTGTATAGTAACTTAGTTCTTTTAGGTGTATCTTGGAAGAATGAATATTCACGAGAGCAATCGAAAGCTGTTGGTAGAGTCTTATAAGCTAGAGAACCCCGTTCACGAAGACAGAGCTCAAAAAGGTTAAGAACAATAAATTGTCCCTATTCCACTTGTATCTGGTTCACAACAGTCAATTCCTTATTAATTAATCCCTTCCCGCTTGGAAAAGGCTCACAATATTTATATCAAATACCAGTTACAAGGGCTTCGCTCTCCCACATTTAAAAAAAAAATGTGGAGGAGGTACACGGCCCCACACACGCCGCGCACGGTGAGCGCCAACCATTTTAATGCGCTCCCCCCGCAGGGTACGCATAGTTGGGAACTGGACCGTAGTCCACAGCAAAATAACTGGCGAACCAGTAAAAGAGGACTTGGCCCCTTGATAGTGCGTAAGCACAAACATCGACCGAAGTCGCGCATGTCAATGCGTGTAAACGCCATACAGAATACGATCAAATCCAGCCACAGTGAATGTACGTCACACGGGTTAGGCAACAATAGGCACACTGACCATAAAAAGCCTTCCGTGAGCGCCACCACCTGCCAGACCGCCGTTCCTGCAGACGTGATGTAAGTGTAAGGCATCACCACCAATTGCATGGTCAGCACGGCCAATTGGCCGCAGAGCGTGTCATGAGTCTACCGCTCACCTCAACGGAATGGGGTCCCACGTTGCGCGGCTTTCGGCCGCAGCCTTGAGAGCCTCCTCAGATTCTCCCTCCATCTACCACCCGCATGAGGTCAACACATATGCTCCACCAACCAATACAATGGCAGATATAGCCAATAGGCAGTTATAAGATAATATTAATAATTCGCCATCAGAAAGGGTTTGTGTCACTGACGTTGAGTATATGCATTTTTCGATCATGTTTGTCTCACCCACCAACAAGTTGCCTTCAATCTCTCAAAGGTGGGAACTTTATAGAGATATATTATTAAGTTGTTATATAAAACATCATGGAGGGCAGACAGTCTGCAGCCCCGCAATGAAGGGACCCGACTTGGGCAAAGCTACTTAGGTTGTGAGTCAAACCAAGACGCAGAGAGCGCCATTGAGAATAGCGACCCGCCAAACAACCATCGTAGAGACGCAATGCTACAGAATGCAACAAGCATCAATACGACTATCGTCGGGCTTACACCATCCCAAGGTCCCCCATACAGTCCCAGCAGACATCACCACCCGCATACCTCCATCGACCAGAACCACAAGATGCATCGAATCAGGTGCAGTACACCCGCAGATCGATCACAAGACGCAATACTGCAAGTAGCAGTAAGCATCAATGCAACTTATCATACGGATGGCGCCCCCTCACAACACACCCACATGATCCCTATCGACTTTGGTAACAAAATTTGATAATGTTGTTAACTAAAAATACCACCGACGTATCATAGTAGTACGGTACTAAGACGTCAGTAGCCAAAACTCCACGTATCATAGCGCTATTGCACTAAGACATGAAGTTGAGTATGCTTGCTGCACTTAAAAGTACTACCAAACACACTCACCCTAATCCGAAAGATAGCCGACGTATCATAACGCTATGCGCTAAGACGCCGCCCACAACCGGTAGGGGTGTGCGATGTCCACGGGCAAGTCGTATTGCTACAACAAACCCGCTTACCACCGGCACTAAGATGATATGTCTAGGACACATCGGTTAGTGAGTCCAAGTTTACCTCGGTCTCAGAGGCTGCGAAGCAACCTACACGCCACTATAATAATCCTTTTCAAGTCCCATTTCTTTCAATATAATGCTTTTACATATTTGAGACCTTCCACATATTTGCTTTATTTCATAGACCATACTACTGTATGTCTTATTCATATGGGACTTCAAGTCATAACTCTGCTATCATAATGCTTATGCATCATAGAGACCTTCTATATTAATGCTTTGGTTCGTCAGACCTTACTATGTTAAGTCCCTAATATAGGACTAGTCATTGTGCAACCTTAGTACTAGCAGTCGGTCAGCCGAACACAACAACACAACACAACCTTGGGTATGTGTCTCCGACAACGCCCCAATATAAGGGAACATTACAAGAACACGTTCATTAACTTAGAAATTTTCCAATTATTACACGAACTCCTTCATCAACTTAGAAAATTTTAATCCGTTTTTTCTATTATATTACAAATGTTATTTATCTTTGTTATTGCAATATAATCGCCTTGTATTTATATGATTTGATACATTTTGAACATTTTAAGCAGGTTTTTAATAAATTTAGAGATTTTTAGAGACATTTTATGCGTTTACTAATATATATAATATTCAATATTCCAAGTGGATATTTTTGAACTTTATGCTTATTATTTGCATTTTTTTGTTTAAATTATAATTTCTAAGACATTTTTAAATGTCTGTATAATGAATTTAATTATTATTTATTAATAATAATTTTGAGGCGTCACAATCCACCCCCAAATTTTATGTTAATGATCCACATAGTGGAGTCGTTAATATAAAATTTAATATTTTGAGAGCATTTACACTACACTCAAATAATTATTTATATATCTGTTCTTTCCTCTTTTAATCTGTTACAATACGGCATATGTTATCAAATCCCCCTACCCCAGAGAATGGCCGCCACCAACACCCCTTCAACCACAATTATCACAATGTGATAACACCATAATTCAAGTTATTGTATATCGTGTTGTTAATAAAGTTTGCAGTCAATTGTCGATTTCTTATTTTATTAATTTATCTTTAAATCTTTGAAACATTATTTCGATAGTGTCACACTTTATGTGCATACAATCCAGTTGGATATTTGTTGAGGTCAGTTCGATACCACATAGGATAAATGTGTTTGAGCCATTCGCCCTGACCCAACTCCCATATTTATTTAATAAAAATGATTACAAAATTATCTTGCGATCTATATTTACAACTCTTCATTATATATTAATAACGTTCTACTATCATATAACAAATCTCTTGCTCATAACTTTAATAATTTTAGACCTTTAACTTAAACAATTATTTCCATGGGCCACCCACAAAACCCTTTTATGTTACAATATTTATTTAATTACTCTAATTTATACAAAAAGAAATTATTATTTAAAATATTTTAATAAGTGAATAGCATTGAAAATTCCTCTAATTTCGTTTGTCTCTGGATTTGCTAAGGTATATACATTGTCAAATGGTACGGCTGCTATTACATAAGGTCCTTCATATGCCAAATTGAACTTACTCATAACTTTATTATCAGCGTCTGATCTACTAGATCTTGAAATTTTTACTAAGTCACCAATATTATATTTTATTAATCTATTTCGCTTATCAAATTTTGTGTTTCTTATTCGACTTGCCTCTTTTAAATTTTTACGCGCTTGTTGTCTAATTTGTTCGACATTATGTTTGTCTTTACTTTTAGAAATTACTTTGTCAAAAGACATCTCATTAGACTCACCATAAAGAATCTCACAAGGCGTGAAGCCTGTACTATTGTGATAAGAATTATTATACAATTCTTCTAATTTCGGCAATATTAACGCCCAATCTTTGTGGTTAGTATGACAAAGCGTCCTAAATAATCTGCTCAACTCTTTATTTACTCGCTCTGTTGTATTTGGTCTAGGATTTCTAACTGTGGTATATATTGGCTTTATATTTAATTCACTCATTGATTGTTCCCAGTGATTACTTACGAACTGTTTTCCATTATCTGTCATTATTACATACTTTTGTTACAACAGACTTTGCTGTTGACTGTTTTGAAGGATATAATTTGATAAATTTACTGAATGAATCTTGAATGACAAATATGAAAGTGTACCCAAAGGTACCTGATACAAGCGGTCCATATAAGTCTGCCATGACTATATCGCCAATGTTTTCTGTTATTATAGATTTGCAGGGACCCACATATGTTATATTGCTTTTCTTAGATAACTGACATAAATGACAAGCCATTAATTGGTTTTTAATATCTTTTGTTAAACCTTTCCAAAAGAATCTGTCTCTCACATATTTAATTACCTTATAGGGTCCTTGATGACCCATTTTGTTATGCACTTGATTTATAATATCTTGTCTCAATGCTTTAGGTAAATATATTACTTCTTGTAAATTCGTTTTGTAATATAATACATCATTTTTCAAACTATACCTTTTAAATTTATTGTTTTGTTTTATTATGGAAGTATTTAATGTCTTTAACTTTTTAATAATAGCCAACGACTCTGAATCTTGTAATTGATATACTGATAAGGATTTTAATTTTTCTATCAACTCAATATTCGGTTCGCTCTCTGTGTAAGCAATTTCTAAACTATTATTTTTATCCTCTTGTATTAAATCGCCATCAGGAGGATAACGTGATAGCACATCTGCAACAATATTACATCTACCCGATATATGCTGTACTTCATAATTAAATTGTTCTATATACAAAATCCATCGGGTTACTCTACCATTGAATAACTTCATATTATTAATAAACAATAATGCTTTATGATCAGTTAGTATTATTACTTTACTGCCCCGCAAATATGTTTCAAATTTCTTTAGGCAGCTTATTACAGCATAAAACTCTTGTTCAGTAACAGACCAATTTAATTCGGGGCCTTTTAAGGCTTTACTATGATAGCCTAAAATTCTCATTTCATTATTATCATCTATCTGATATAGTACTCCGGCCATACCCACACCGGAACAATCTGTTTGTAAATAATACGGCTTATTAAAGTCTGGATGATGCAATTGTATTGTATTAATAAATTGTTGTTTTATAAAATCAAATGCCTTCTGTTCTTTACCGCTCCATTGGAACTTTCGTCCCTTTTTAAGTAATTCACAGAGCGGTATTATGCTCTCGCTGTAATTTGGTATAAACCTTCTATAAAAATTGCATAGACCTAAAAAGGCCCTTAATTGTTTAATCTTTTTAGGTGCTGGAAACTCTTGGATCGCTCGAATCTTATCGGGATCTGTCTTTATGCCTTCTGTTGAAATTATAAAACCCAGCATTTTAATTTCTTTACAAATAAATTCACATTTCTGCAAGTTACACGTTAAGCCAGCTTTGTTCAATTTACTTAAAACAATATCAATGTGCTCCAAATGTTTATCTAACGTTCCTGTTGTAATAATGGCTAGATCATCTAAATAGTTCACACAAAATTCTTGGACTTCTGGTCCTAATATTAAATTCATGGCTCTGCTAAAGCTTCCTACTGATGTTTTTAATCCTTGCGGCAAAACATTTTATACATATGACTTTCCATTGAATGTGAATCCAGTATATTTTCTACCATCTTTATTTATCGGAATTTGAAAATATGCATTATTTAAGTCAATGGTAGTGATATAATTCGCTCCGTGAAATGAATTCAAAACATCTAATTGTATAGGTGGTTTCTCTGTTTCTGCAACCATTTTCTTATTTATGCTTCTGGCATCAAGCAGTACTCTAATTGAGCCGCCTTTTTTAAGAGTGAATGTCAATGGACTACTGTAAGGCGTTGATGTCCTTGTGATGATACCAGCTTGTTCCATTTCATTTAACTTTTCTTCCATTTTCGCTCTATATGCATATGGAATGGGATAGGACCTAGTAACTATAGGTTCATCATCGATCATTTCAATTTTATGCTCATAGCAATTGGCTCTTCCCAATTTGCTCGAAAACATATTCTTATGCTTTTCCAAAACCTTACTAAGTTTTGCCCTTGCAAAGACCTCCAATGTAGATCCTATTTTTATATTTATTAAGGGATCATCGGTACATTGTTTGATGCAGTTATTATGTAATACAGATTTATTATTATATTTGAAAGGTATAAAGTAGTCTTTGTTTTTCACTTTAAATTCTATTCCAACAGTAGTATTTCTCAAATCAATCAATATTTTATTTCTCTTGAGCCAGTCAAAGCCTAATATTAAAGGTCTTATTAAATTACCTACAATTAAAGTTTGTGTTTCAAAGACTACTTCATCTATCTTTATAGGCAATATGATCATTTGTTGTATTTTTGTGCTGCGCTGCCCAACATCACCTTTTATTTGCATTGCTTTAACTGGCATTATTGATATTTTACGATTATTATCTTTAATTTGTAAATATAAACTTTCTGAAATGCATGTAACATTGCTCCCAGTGTCGAGGAGCACGTCTATTTCTTTGTCAAATATTGAAACTTTAATTTCAGATCTCATATTCCCTATAAATTCCCTTTGATATTTATCTTCGTCTTCCTCGAAGACGGTTTGCACGAATAACTCCGTTATGGGCAAGTCCGACCTGGCTTTTAAGGTGTTTAATATGGTATTTACATTGTCGTTATAACCAAGGCCTTCTCTGTTAAAATTTGCTTTTAAAGTAATAGTTTTTCGCAACCCTCTATTGTTTTTACCCAATGTTTGACCAGGTCGCCAACCCAGTTTTAATAACATATTTAATGCTTTGTTCCCTTTTACATTGTAAGGGGTCGAATCGGGAACTAGTTTGACCTCTACAGCTCTAAATTTGGCTCAGCGGCCGTAACATCAGGTTGGTCATTAGTGAAATGTATTTCATGTACTTCATTAACCTTCTTTTTTCCCTCTTCCGGTTTACGCCATGTTTTGTATGATTGTTGTATTTCTTTATGTTTTTGCTCCGTATTATTATTAAACTTCCTCCTTTTCTCATTATAGTAAGGTTCATGACCTTCATCTTGTTTGTCGATGTCATCTAAGTTTCTTAAGAAATCTGTCGTGTCTATTATTGTCTCAATTTTAGCTATTCTCCATAATTGCTGCACAGTTTTAGGATAATGTCTGATGACATCAGTTACTAATTGTTTTTCAGGTATCGGATATGATAATGTTTGTGCCTTCTAAACCTCATAAAGAAAATAACTAACCATGGTGGGGTGTGTACTTCTATTCCATTTATTTTGCACAAGGAATCTCTTTACTTTATTTTGTTCTTCTTCACCCCAAAACACTCTTAGGAAGTCAGCTTTAAAATCATCAAAAGTTGTCCAACGCACATTATTAATGCGAGCCCAATACTTGGCTTCACCTACTAAGCACTCTTGTGCAATCGAAATTTCGAGACCATTAGATGGAACTTTCTTTAAATAATTGGTGAGATCTTCCAAAAATGATACTGGATGAGTATTTCCATTTCCAAATTTCGGCTTTTCTATTGTTACATTATGTACATTATATACAATATTTTGTCTAGGATCATTTACATGAGAGGTGCTCGCCCCGGACACCTCTTCTTGATTTATTTTAATTTGGTAATCTTTCGTTTGGTTAATAAATTTTTCCTCAAGATCCTTTATTTTAACCTCAAAGGTTTTCACTGCATTCTTAATTAATTTCTGAAGCATTTTCATCTCATCTTTAGGCTTATAGCCTTAACTGAGGTTGATTTTTCCTTATTTTTAGCCATTTTAATTTTTATTTCCACTTTTTTTTTTTACACCTGTTGTGTCCTTCACTTAGTTTAATTGAGTCTTTCCACTTATTTCACTTTATAATATATAGTATTGCAGTGTTTTTTTTTTATTTTACTCCTGTTGTGTCCTTCACTTAGTCTAATTGAGTCTTTCCACTTATTTCACTTTTTATTATTTCGCTCCGTTATGCACACACCTCCTATATTATTACTCCATTTTAATATCTAAGCCCCACCCCCAGACTCTCAACCACCCCCAGCAAACACCACTCTCCAAGACACCTCTCCATTTCACGGACAACAAATTGTAGGCATATAGCCTACCTCATAATTTTATATTACCGGCCTCCTATTTAAAATTTAACCTCTATCCTGGTCACGGCACAAAATTGTAACGAACCCCCCCCCATCTTTTTTTCTCTTCTACTATATATCCACTTATACTTGTATTTCTTTAGAATCTATATCTGTAAGATATATAAATATATCTAATTTACGTGACCAGTATAACTTGATCTTTCTAAAGGTTTAAATATAGGCCGTTTAATAAATTTATGGCGTGATCGTCTTAGTTAGGACCCTTTTTTACGTTGTGTTTGTATAGTAACTTAGTTCTTTTAGGTGTATCTTGGAAGAATGAATATTCACGAGAGCAATCGAAAGCTGTTGGTAGAGTCTTATAAGCTAGAGAACCCCGTTCACGAAGACAGAGCTCAAAAAGGTTAAGAACAATAAATTGTCCCTATTCCACTTGTATCTGGTTCACAACAGTCAATTCCTTATTAATTAATCCCTTCCCGCTTGGAAAAGGTTCACAATATTTATATCAAATACCAGTTACAAGGGCTTCGCTCTCCCACATTTTAAAAAAAAATGTGGAGGAGGTACACGACCCCACACACGCCGCGCACGGTGAGCGCCAACCATTTTAATGCGCTCCCCCCGCAGGGTACGCATAGTTGGGAACTGGACCGTAGTCCACAGCAAAATAACTGGCGAACCAGTAAAAGAGGACTTGGCCCCTTGATAGTGCGTAAGCACAAACATCGACCGAAGTCGCGCATGTCAATGCGTGTAAACGCCATACAGAATACGATCAAATCCAGCCACAGTGAATGTACGTCACACGGGTTAGGCAACAATAGGCACACTGACCATAAAAAGCCTTCCGTGAGCGCCACCACCTGCCAGACCGCCGTTCCTGCAGACGTGATGTAAGTGTAAGGCATCACCACCAATTGCATGGTCAGCACGGCCAATTGGCCGCAGAGCGTGTCATGAGTCTACCGCTCACCTCAACGGAATGGGGTCCCACGTTGCGCGGCTTTCGGCCGCAGCCTTGAGAGCCTCCTCAGATTCTCCCTCCATCTACCACCCGCATGAGGTCAACACATATGCTCCACCAACCAATACAATGGCAGATATAGCCAATAGGCAGTTATAAGATAATATTAATAATTCGCCATCAGAAAGGGTTTGTGTCACTGACGTTGAGTATATGCATTTTTCGATCATGTTTGTCTCACCCACCAACAAGTTGCCTTCAATCTCTCAAAGGTGGGAACTTTATAGAGATATATTATTAAGTTGTTATATAAAACATCATGGAGGGCAGACAGTCTGCAGCCCCGCAATGAAGGGACCCGACTTGGGCAAAGCTACTTAGGTTGTGAGTCAAACCAAGACGCAGAGAGCGCCATTGAGAATAGCGACCCGCCAAACAACCATCGTAGAGACGCAATGCTACAGAATGCAACAAGCATCAATACGACTATCGTCGGGCTTACACCATCCCAAGGTCCCCCATACAGTCCCAGCAGACATCACCACCCGCATACCTCCATCGACCAGAACCACAAGATGCATCGAATCAGGTGCAGTACACCCGCAGATCGATCACAAGACGCAATACTGCAAGTAGCAGTAAGCATCAATGCAACTTATCATACGGATGGCGCCCCCTCACAACACACCCACATGATCCCTATCGACTTTGGTAACAAAATTTGATAATGTTGTTAACTAAAAATACCACCGACGTATCATAGTAGTACGGTACTAAGACGTCAGTAGCCAAAACTCCACGTATCATAGCGCTATTGCACTAAGACATGAAGTTGAGTATGCTTGCTGCACTTAAAAGTACTACCAAACACACTCACCCTAATCCGAAAGATAGCCGACGTATCATAACGCTATGCGCTAAGACGCCGCCCACAACCGGTAGGGGTGTGCGATGTCCACGGGCAAGTCGTATTGCTACAACAAACCCGCTTACCACCGGCACTAAGATGATATGTCTAGGACACATCGGTTAGTGAGTCCAAGTTTACCTCGGTCTCAGAGGCTGCGAAGCAACCTACACGCCACTATAATAATCCTTTTCAAGTCCCATTTCTTTCAATATAATGCTTTTACATATTTGAGACCTTCCACATATTTGCTTTATTTCATAGACCATACTACTGTATGTCTTATTCATATGGGACTTCAAGTCATAACTCTGCTATCATAATGCTTATGCATCATAGAGACCTTCTATATTAATGCTTTGGTTCGTCAGACCTTACTATGTTAAGTCCCTAATATAGGACTAGTCATTGTGCAACCTTAGTACTAGCAGTCGGTCAGCCGAACACAACAACACAACACAACCTTGGGTATGTGTCTCCGACAACGCCCCAATATAAGGGAACATTACAAGAACACGTTCATTAACTTAGAAATTTTCCAATTATTACACGAACTCCTTCATCAACTTAGAAAATTTTAATCCGTTTTTTCTATTATATTACAAATGTTATTTATCTTTGTTATTGCAATATAATCGCCTTGTATTTATATGATTTGATATATTTTGAACATTTTAAGCAGGTTTTTAATAAATTTAGAGATTTTTTGAGACATTTTATGCGTTTACTAATATATATAATATTCAATATTCCAAATGGATATTTTTGAACTCTATGCTTATTATTTGCATTTTATTATTTAAATTATAATTTCTATGACATTTTTAAATGTCTGTATAATGAATATAATTATTATTTATTAATAATAATTATGAGGCATCACACTATGATCCTGTCACAACAGTCCTGCTTGACCCACAGTAGTAAGTAGTCAT